ATATCCTCTTGGAATTATTTTTTATACATATATATATTTATGTATCTATATATATTTATATATTTTAGATATATAATTGCATATGTATGTGTATATTTATAACTAATATTATCTATCTATCTATCTATCTATCTATCTATCTATCTATCTATATATATAACATCAATTATAGAAACAATTGTACTAACCCTAAAAAAAAAACAGGAAAAGAAAAATCATTTGGTATACCCCTCCGTTTAACCAAATGGTTAGTATTAAGCTAGGACAGAAATTTCTAGCTTTAATTGAAAAACACTTTCCTACCAATAGTAGACTTAGTAAAATATTTAATAAGAACACCCTAAAATTAAGTTACAGCTGCACTGAAAATCTAGAAAGCATAATAAAAAACACAATAATAAAATCCTGAACAAACCCCCATGCCTGAATAGTATTAATAAAAACCCTACACTTAAATTAGACAAAAATAGTGAAAAATTATGTGATTGTAGAAACCCAGAAGACTGCCCATTGGAAAATAAATGCTGCGTTAAATCTGTGGTATACCAATGTACTATCTCATCCATTGAGGGTCCTAATATTAATATGATATACATTGGGTCTACGAAGAATGAATTTAAAGCCAGATGGAGGCAGCATAAGTGCTCTTTCAACAATATAAACAAAAGAAATCAGACATCTCTATCTAAATATTTTTGGCATTTGAAGGAAATGAATAAAACACCAAAAGTTAAATGGAAAATTATAAACAAAACTAGAACTTGTAAAACTTGACATGACCCATGCACTTTATGCCTACATGAAAAACTACACATTATTAAGTTTCTAAATAATAAACATCTATTAAACAATAGACATGAGTTAACGGTTTTTTGCCGACATCACCAAATTTTTGCATTGAATAAGTAGCATAAAAACAAACAATAAAATAATTTTTAAAATCCATAGTCCTAATAAACAGTTTAAATGCAAAAAAAGATAACCCTTTATGAAGTCGTCAAAAAAACAAATGTTAGCGATTTACGACAGTTTTTATATACACAAAACCCTTTCAGAAAAAAATAAAAAATAAAATAAATAAATCTACATAGACACTTAACCTGACTAGACATTGTCATCTTCCGCTTTAAATTTAGACACCCCAACCTTACCCTGACTTGACATCTGTGAATGTAACTGAGATATTGATACAAATTATTAACACCTTCGCCCCTTTTTCTTTAAACAATTGCTCTAGCCGTTACCCTAGAAATTTTGATTTCAAAAATGAATATGCTTATAAAACACGTAAATTTCAGAAATAAGTTATTCCCCAAAAAATTTCGCTTGAAGATGGAACAGAGCATAGTACTTTAATTCAATTTAATTCAAATAATTATATTGAAGTTTTTTTAGCTCTTGTTTTGAAACATGAGAACTCTTATGTAGCGTATTGGAATCATATTTTTAAATAAATAAAATATATATATATATATATATATATATATATATATATATATATATATATATATTACTAGTGGGTACACTTTTTGTGTAAATCTCCGTGATTTGAATAAGGAAATTAATATCTTGCGGCCTAGTATTTGAAAGTCTTATGAAAGAGAAATATTCCCCTCGAGACAGGAATAGCACCTGTTTATTAATTATTGACTATGGCCACCGCAAAGAATCATTGTGAGTTTCAATTGTGACTTAAGATAACAAGCAATGCTTGTGTATGAAATTTGCTAAGTGGTGAAAGACGTCGCATTGGCTCATTCCAGCTCTCCCAGCAAGAACATGGTGTGCACTAAAATTAAAAAAAAATTCAACATCATTAGATGCTGTCCAGAGCTTTCTTGCTCCTAGTTGGATACTTTAACGAAGGCGAATGTGTCCAACAATTGCAGTCTATATGTATGCATGTATAATGGTCAACTATTCGTTTCCCGAGCACACCCGTCTACTCAAGTGGCTTGCGAATACCTTTCTCAGACTCTTGCTCAGGCATATTTGTGGTTTATGTTGAGCGGACCTCATAAATTCTGGGATATAGAGAGAGAGCATAATCTGACATCGTATGTAGGTTGAAAAACGCTAGTACACAGAAACCCTCGGTCACGATGACTTGTGACTTCGTGTTAGCATTGGCCAGCCAAACAGTTTCGTCTGCGTAGTTTCACTCGTAGGGCTTAGGTCAGCCTGCGTTTCGGTTTTCACTCACCTTCAAAAGTTTCAGCACACTGAAATCGTCCCCCAAGATCGATAACTTCAAGTAGTCACCTACATCAAATAGTCACCTTAGTGACAAATCGACCATGGTTGGGTCATATGGAATGTGAACGTCCTAACCAGTCAGCCACGCGATTGCATTTATATATATATATATATATATATATATATATATATATATATATATATATATATATATATAATGGTGGACTCTCCGTCATATTCGACGTATGAGGGTGTTGTAGAGTGGTTTCACAGTGGTGGCTTGTATTTGTACTAAGTCGGTCCTAAAATATGTTCGACGTACAAAACATTAAGAACTTGATATAATAGGTATAACGCAGTAGTCTAACTTGCGTGGTGGCTTATACTTTAATATCCGACTAACGGTCGTCCGTCATCGACTGACTGACCAACTAACTGAGCGACTTAGCGACTCCTCGTTACTGTTACTACTCCTACTTATTATAGGTGGGCGAGTCTATTAACTAAAGAATAGGTGTGTTCCACTATAGATGGTCAAGCAGCTCAGCCTCTTGGAACCAACAGCCCAGACACCAGCACATTTGATTATAGTGGTGAAGGTTTTGTGCAGAACCAACCACACTTTTTGAAGGGCCGAATACAGAGATCTAGTGCACTACGTGCCACAAGGTCCTCAAATGACCCTCCGCAGGTTTTGAATTCAGAGTTGTCCTTCTCCAAGATCAGTTGCCATCTAAGTACCCAGTTTGACCTGGTATTTACTCATAACTGGAGACAGAAGAAGACGAATAATACCTTTCCCAAAGCTATTATCACGTAAGTGAATGTAATGGATTCGACTAGAATATATATATATATATATATATATATATATATATATATATATATATTCTGTTTAAACGTTATTTTTATGGATACATTTATTTAAGGAAATGCATTGTTCATTAATTAAACAGTATTAATTACATTTACCGGCCTAATTCTTCGAGAAATTTCGTAGAAAATATGCGTTCTCCGGCAGGTATGGAATCTGCATCCTATGAGGAACTTCCGTTCAGCCACAGAGAACTTCCGGTTAAGCAACGCCCGAATTAATGCTTTTTATGGTTCGGTTGTGATAGTTATGCATTTTTAGAGAAACCATTGTATATGACCTACCGACGTGACGTGGCTTCCCTCTGTCTTTTCTACACACATTTTTATGGCAACTATTCCGATGAACTTTTTTCCCAGGTGCCTCGACCACATGAATTTAAGCGTGCTACTAGATTGGCAATTAGGTTTCACCGTTATTCTGTTGAACTAGCTAGATGCAATCTCCACATCTGTTTTACTAGTTTCTTTTCTCGCGCTTCTCGCCTTTGGAAACTCCTTTCCGATTTCTTGCTTCCCTGATAACTAATTTTAAAAATTTAAATGCAACGTCTATCGCTATCTTTTATCTCCTTGAACTCTTTTCTTCCTCTTTTGTCCTTTCCTCAATTATCCCTACTAAAGTCTTCTCATTCTCTTTCACTATCATTCCATGTAACTGCCTGCGATCTAGTGGCTCTGTCTAAACTTTAACTATATGATATAAGAAAAGAATGCGATGCCATAAACACCCGTCTATTAATCGAGATCTAGTCTTCGTTATCAAAACGGTCGTCAAGTACTTTCTGCATTCTCTTGAGGTTTCTTCTAGACACGATGAATTTATTATGATTATCTCAAAAGCTCCTAATTTCTATCACTTGTATATTCTTGCTTGAATCGGCTCTAATGCTACAGTTGGAGAGGCTTCCTGATAGTAGTCGTGGCTCGTGGAGGCACAGTCTTAGGGGTAAGGGAAACTCGAATGAGTTCCACCACGGAATATGTGATCGAGCGGCGCTATATCAAGTCTAATTCGTTACCTCTTAGTTGGTATATACTTTGCCTGATATCGTAACGGTTCGGGTTTCAATTCTCGGTAGTGGATGCGCACTGTTAATGAGTCCAAATATAGGACGAAACGGCCGTCCAGTGCTTTCTGCATTCTGTTGAGGCTTTTTTCTAGACTCGATGAATTAATTAATTATATGTATGCATATTTTATTCAGTTTTATGTATATGAGATTGTAACCTGGTTTTCACGCTTTTGCGATCATCGGACAAGAAGTTTTCTGATGATCGCAAACGCGTGAAACCTAGGGTTACAATCTCATATCCACACAACTGAATATGTTAGTTCTATCACTGATATTGAGCACTTTCCAATAAGTCCCGCGCATATATAATATATATACAAATTATATATATGTGTGTGTCATAAGAGATTATGATAAAAACATGTTGAAATCGCTACACAAAAGCTTTCATGTTTCAATACTATGATTGTACTTCTTCAGGCGATGGTAATTAACTGGTCCAGTTACTTACCTTAACATGAAAGCTTTTTGTAGCGATTTCAACGTGTTTTTATTATAATCTCTTATAATAAAAATATATATATAATATATATATTGCTCTACTTTGTATTGAGCACTTTTTAAAAAGTAAATGCCACGAACAGTAGATTTTTATTCGATCTATTCTTTCTTTCATTTGGATATATATATATATATATATATATATATATATATATATATATATATGCGAGTTAATTTGTTCATATCCATTTCAGTAAATGTATTAGAATTTATTCGTAATTATTTACCTATCCAGAACTGTTCGTATTTACCTATGCCCATCTATTTAAATCTGGAAATAGACGATGTTATTGATAGAGACGTTTCCTTGAATTAAATGTAAAATTACCTGTATGACTCTTTACCTGTTTGAGATTAGTAAAATGTTCTCATAAGGAAAAAAGATTCTGTTGCTGGTAAAAAAAGGCGGTGTTTCTTTGTAACAGGAAGAGAGAGGGAAAAAGAGAATAAGTGAAAAAAAGATAAAGAAAAGGAGAGAAAAAGTGATAATGGGAGAGAAAATAAGGGTGCAAAAAAGAAAGAAAGAGAAAAGAGGAGAAGAGGAGAAAGACAAAAGGTTAAAAATGAGAAAGTAAGGGCACAAAGGAGAGAGTGAGATGAAGGAAAGGAAAGGGAGCAAACGAAAAGAAGAAAAAGAGAGCGAAACAAATAGCGTGAAAATGTAAGAAAGCAAAAGAAAGAAAGAAAGAAAGAAAGAAAGAAAGAAAAATATGGAAGGGAGCAAGAGAAAAAGTAAGAGAAAGAGTGGGAGAGAGAGAGAGAGAGAGAGAGCGAAAATGATAAAGTAAGAGCACAAATGAAATAGTGGGAAAAGAAAGAACGGTAGAGAGTAAGAGAACAAAAGAAAAGGAGAAAAAGAGTAAGATAGAGCATGAAAATGTGAGGGAAAAGGCGTAGGATAATGATATCAGAAAAGAAAGAAAGAAAATGAAAAAATCAAGAGGGGAAGAGAGAATGTGAAGGAGGTAGAGGGGAAGAGAGAGCACAAAAGAAAGAATGGAAAAAGAAACAATTATAGAGAACGAGAAAAAAAGAGAGAGAGAGAGAAGTGAACGTCAAAAGGAATAGGAAAAAGGGTGTTGGAGAGAAAAATGACTAAAGAAAGAAAGAACGGAAATATAGGAGAGAGAGAGAGAGAGAGAGAGAGAGTGAGAGAGAGAGAGTGAGAGAGAAGTGAGAAGAAAATAAGAGGGAAAGAATGAGTAAGGGATTGAGTGGGTAGGTTAAAGAAAAAGAAACCAAAAAAAAAAAAAAAGTAGAACAAAACAGTTATTTGCCTAAACTAACTGTAAAACAAAAAGATTAATATTAAAAGTTCACTTCTGTGGCTCGAATGTCTGCGAGAAAATCTGGTTTGATAAATAACTCTTTCCGTGTTATTTCCATTTCTGATGAATTCGAGAATGGCGTCGTTGTTACGGTGTATCTTTAAAGTCATATCTCGAATATTGAACCGGTGAAAACTGATGGTAGCTTTCAATACCAGAAGGCATTTCATTATCCCCGAACTGACCATAGATTTTCACCCGCCACGGTGAAAGGCTGCAATCTCAAAAAGGCTTCTTGCTTTGAGTGTCTATTGGGACTCAAGTTTAACCTGGACCTTCAGCTGAACTCATATATGTATATAATCAACTGTTAAAGATGCTGGAAAAAATGGCCGCCGACCTATACCACGAAAGAAAGTACCTGATCCACCTAGCATGATTTATCAGACCTAAATTTTCTCTTTCTAGCTTTGATAGAACTTCATTGTGTTTACGCGGCCTTTTGAGTGATGAATTATTTTCCATCTGAGAACCTCTTTCCCACGGATGCAACGTCGCAAGCCTATCACTGCTGTATTGCTACTTCCATAGAAAATGTTTTGAGAAGCTACATTCCCAAGTTTCACCAGTTCAGACATTTACAACAGTGACCCGCCATCCCATGTAAACATGATCAAATCATCTACATTCTCTTTGTATTCCATGGAAGTTTCATTTGTACAGGTTTTTCCCCCAACGTTCTCAGCCTTGAGGAACAGGCTCTCAAGAGAATTTTTCCTCGACCTTTGCAATCTTAAATTATTCAAATCTCAAATCAATCATTACATATTCTCCTTATCTTTATAGTCTATAATTTTTATGGCCATAAAAAAATCAGTAGCTCTCTACCTTGAGGCGCTCTTGGGCCTTTTATTGGGTGAGCAATCGTAAAAATAGCCTTCCTCTTTTTTGTTCTATTTCATTTCGACGCATTGTATTTTATATAGTATAGGGTGAACACGTGAGCAACGACAAAATTTTAGGGAAAATGGAAACTGAAAAGACACATGTTTAGAATCGAAACGAGACAATCGAAATTTCTACGGCACATAATAAGAAAAGAAGGCTTAGAAAATGTGACACTCACAGTAGATATTGAAGGCAAGAGTGAGAGAGGAAAGCAGCGTATAACCAATCTAAATTGGTTGTGGAAATGGTTGGCACAACAGGGATTAGGAGAGATAGCAAAAAGATATACTTTACTAAGAAAAGGACAGGAAATTGTGGAGAGCCATGATCGCCCATGTCCCTTCAGGACATGGCACATAGAAGAAGAAGAAGAAGAAGAAGAAGAAGAGAGAAGCAAATCACAAGAAGAAACACAGAAAAAATGAGACGAAGATATACTTTTGTTCATGTGTTAAGATTCCATCTGGAAGGACGAGACAGGTAACTGAAACTGAAGTCCTGCCACAGGGTCCCTACCCCAGGATCCGTGCCCCAAGGTCCCTGCCCCAGGATCCCTGGCTTGGAAGCATTGACATAATGGCGCCTTTGGTACTCCTTTGTCAACCTAACGACAGGTGTAATAGTTATTACAGCTTTTGATTTAATGTGTCTCTAGTTAGGAGCATAATAGATGCTTGTTGTATATTCATAAGGAAGTCTGTACTTCAGTTCGAAATTACCTCATTGATATACAGATATATCACCTAAAGGATCGGAGTTGAAACTCTTGTAGTTAAAAGGTTATTTTAAATAGCCTTTTCCTGAAAAGAGTTGTTTTAAGCTGGTATATTAAACAACTTCACTGTGCTGGTGCATTTTAACATTAGTAATATAATCATAAATAGTTGAGTCGGGGTCCGTCACCCGGGACGCAGAAATAAAAAAAAATACTTAAATATTCTTCTTTTGCTGATACATTTTTTTTTTTACTTCTGTGGAAACTTCTGGGGTTATTGGCCCTCGTTCGATGGCGTTCCTTTCGAGGATTGGCGCGATGGCGTCTCGATTAAGGGATGAGCCTCGCGAAACGGAGTGGCTCTTGCAGCGTGTCTCACTGGCGATGGTTTGAGGTAATGCATTCGCCATCATTGCGGCTGGCAGAGGATAGCAAAAAAAAAAAAAAAAAAAAAAATGTGTTTATAGTTACTTTATTTTTTTTTTTTTTTAATAAATTCTTCTGTTTTTCTTTTCTAAAGTACAATCTAGCGTTTGTAAACAATGAGCTCATATTCCAAGAAGAGAAGTGAAAGGTAAATGTCATCAGAAAAAATCGTTATGAACAAGATCTAAAACCAAAGAAAATTTTGTTGTGATTATATATCGAATTTTGTGAATGCAAGACAATCTCCCCACGGATGAAGAAAAGACTTGAAGCGACAGAAATGTGGTTCTACAGAAGGATCATGAGAATACAATGGACTGAACAAGTAAGCAACGACGAAGTTTTAGAGAAAATGGAAACGAAAAAGATATTTATACGTAACATCAGAAGGAGACAGTTGAAATATCTAAAACACATAATGAGGAAAGAGGGCTTGAAAAATTTGATACTCACAGGGCAGATTGAAGGCAAGATGGACAGAAGAAAACAACGCATAACCTACATGGAAAGTTTGAGTAAATGGATGTCGGAAAAGGTTTAGGAGAGATAACAAAAACAAAATTTATTAAGAGCTACAAAGAACAGGAAATTGTGGAGAGCCACGATCACTAACGTCCTAAGGGGACACGTCACATAGAAGATGAGCTCTTTTTAAATAAAATTGTTTTCATTTTGGATATACCGGTGTAATTCAGGAAAAAATTGTCTAGTTTTAATTCTATAAACTAGTTTTAATTTTATAATCTTGTATCATAGTTTTAATTCTATAATCTTATATCATAGTTTTACTTCTATAATCCTGTATCTTAATTTTTAGTCGTTGGATTCTTCAGTTTTCTTTTTTGAGTTTATCCGGTCATCTTTTAGAGACTTCTACTGTTTTTCTGATTCCTTTGAATTTTACCGTTTTAAAGTAGGAATCCTATGAATGAACCTAAATATTTTTGGATACGATTTCATGTTTTATGATTTGTCTGGCTATATAAAACTAAATGCTTTTTTTAAGAAAATTTCTTTGATTGAACAGAGAATGGTGTCAACATGAATAATAGTATGGATCAATAAATCCGTAGCCTGGCAATATTATTATTGTTTTGATATTCAAAGTTTTTATAGCATAGAAGTAAGGATTCTTTTTTTAACTATAGACAATTAATCTGTGTACTATCTGTACTCTCTGTATATATATATATATATATATATATATATATATATATATATATATATATATATATATATATATATATATATATATATATATTTTAGATATCGAGCAATTTAAACCATAAATATAGCATACGTTAATACTACATATTATTAAATATAACAGACAACGAATGTCATAGGCCGTTCTAAACTTTGTATACTTGCTTTAATTTCGGGAGTAAATAAAGACAAAATTGCCCAACATTTGGATATATTTTCTTAGGCTGTTCCTCGATATAAGCTTTCGGCTCACATGATATATCTATCTCTCTCTCTCTCTCTCTCTATATATATATATATATATATATATATATATATATATATATATATATATATATATATATATATATATATATATATATATATATATATATATATATATATATATATATCAGTATTGGCCTAACTCTAGTCTTGCCTACTATTTTTCTTTTTTTGTGTTTTATATATATATATATATATATATATATATATATATATATATATATGGGGGGGGTCTTTGCGCCTGACATTGTACAGGAAATAAAGGTCTATAATTACACCGGATTTTATTATAAAATCCGGCTAATCATAGACTTTTATTTAAGAGCCTTGTATCCACCAATTCCTGTCCGAAAAGAGAAACATGTTGAAAATACTTTAAAACTCCTCCATTACCCAAATCATTTCCTGCACAGAAAAAAAAATTACAAAAATCAATAAATAATAATAATACCTCCCACACACATACATCTTATTTACTATAAACTTGAGTATTTTATAATTACACATAAACTGTTGCCCACATGCATTCATTCATACATACATATATACATATATTACATATATATATATATATATATATATATATATATATATATATATATATATATATATATATATATATTACACACACACACATATATATATACTATCGACAAACGTTATATTTGGTTGTTTTTTTAAGAGAGAAATTAATGTCAATCGGCGTAGAGATTGAGAATTAATACGAAAGATAATGGGCTTCCCATCAAAAATAGATATTATCTTTCTTCATCAGGGAAACAACTTTTAACTTAAGTGTTCCTTTATCAAACAAAATTGCCTTTTATTCCTGTGGATTAATTATAAAATACTTCTTAATTGTTCATATATCATGTTATTACCTCATCATTTCTCTCTCTCTCTTACACACGCACACACACACACACACACACACACATATATATATATATACAAGTAATAGGTCCGTTGGTATATAATCCAGGTGGATCCTAGTAATAACAAATATTAAAACTGATCCATAGAGAGCTCAATGTATTTATTATAAC